AGAACTGGAGTTCAGGTGTAAAGACACAGATTTAGAAATCATCTGCAAAAAGGTGATAATTGAGGTCATGGGAGTAGAGTTCACCAAGAGCAAGAGTACAGTGAGAGGTGAAGAAAGCCAAGGATAGAGCCTTAGGAGATGCCCATACTTAAAGAACAAGAAAAAGAAGAGAAACCAGGAAAAAGGGCTGAAAAGGAATGCTCATAGACGCAGGAAAACTAGGAGAGGAACATTCCAAAACAAGCAACACTACTGAAAAAACCCTCTGAGCAAAAGCTTACCAAAACAAATATGCACAGCAAAAAACTTAAACAGGTTGCAAAGAAGAATCACCAAAATCGAAAAATACATCAAATACTCATTTTCTAGATTACAAGTATTAAAACAATTACAATTTTCATTTACAAAAAACATTCAATACTTCTAAGAAACAAGAGCAAAAAATTAAAAGCCTCACAAAAACAGCTTAGTGGCAATACTTCAATACAGCTGAAGTATTAAAAAACTGAAGAATACCTTTCAAAAGCCAAAAAAAAAAAAATACTACACTAAATGAACTCCTCAGCCCTATATATTCCCAAATGCTATCCTAGAGATTCCATCTATGGTTTGTGGAAAAATTTCAAAGGTAGATCACATAACTCAAATTTATATCCTATTCTGTAACAGTCATTAAATAGTAAAAGGGCAATTGCCTCCTTCGGGAAATCATACATACATCCTTCCTCTCTTTTTTTTTTTCTTTTACAAGAACGTGTAATCTTTCTTTTCTTATTCATTGTTCAAATCACAAACCTTTACTTGTAGCACCAAAATGGATTGTTGAAGTGGTTATGTTGTCACAAACAAGATTATAATTTCAAACAGTAAAAAAAAAAGCACAAGTATTTCTAACTCTAGTATTTGAAACAATGTCTAATAAAGAGAATGAAAATTAAAACATTATATCAAACATAAGGCAATCGTAATTTCTCATTTTGCATTTTTAAATTTTAATAATGCACTCTTGTGGTTTTAAAAATATTACTATATTACAAGAATTAGCACAGCAGAGTGTCTTACACAAAGTGGGTAGTCAATAAAAAATTAATGATTTGAAGCAACTACGCTCTCCTTCTCTGTTCATCTCAAGTGCAAAAACTTAAAGTGTTAACAATTCTGACACGTCAGAAACACTACCTTAACTTTCACCAGCCTTTTCACAGTCTTAATCTTTGCCTCACAGAAGGCACCTCGGTACTTGGCACTGACATCAGTCCCCACTGTCAGGTAGGCAGGCTCGTCTGCTGCCTGGTAAAGAGAATATATAAAGTTAAAATATAACTGCAAGGATTTCTGTCTAAAGACCAAATATATAAAATCTACATAAATAAAAAAAAAACCTTTTAAAACATGCCTATTCTTTTCTATATTGAATACTACAGATTTAGGTTAAGTACCTCTAAATCTAACCATTTTAAAACTATTTCTTGTGTTATAACAAAAATGATCCCTTAAAAAACTTCTATCATGCCCCATTATAACATGCCCTATAATTTTACGTGGAAAATATTAAAAGGGAGTGCACTGTCATTTTTTTCTCCAGATGTAAAGAGTCAAAAAAAGTTTACAATATGCCAAAAGTTTAAGAATTCAGGAGAATATACATAATATATTACTCTTAGGACTATATAAAGACTTGAAATGGTCTATATAACTTTTTACTGTTTTGAAGGTTCAAAACACTTAAATTCTCTTTGACACTCTACCTCTAAATTAAAACTATTAAATTAACACTATAAACACATCAGCAGAGACCTTTAACCAAATATTCATCATGTAACAACAACAGACACAATGTAACAGCTGTAAATAAATGAATAGCCATTCAACCCACTTTAAAATTGAGAATATTATTTAGTAAATAGTGTGCCTGAAAGCTGAAGTTGAAATGGAAAAGTCACAACAGCTGATAACAGAGAAGTAAACTCATGGTCTTACACTTGTAGTACTAAGGTTTTTGAATTAATATTGCTGGTGGGAAAAAAAATAAGCTTCCTCTGGAAATACCTAACTTCAACATGCTGAAGTGGCAAAAAAAAAAAAATAATAATAATAAAAAAAGAAATAGATGATATTTCATTTTACTATAAACTCTAACCCTTATGTGAACATGCTTTCGTTTTCTCCTTTATACACAAAAATTTTATGAAAGCTTAGCACTTATTCACAAAGCTATCTATATGCACACACATTTTAAAATAGTTGTAGTATACTGTTTAAGTAGAAAAATAATTTATTTTCCCAATTAGTTGCTCCAAACAACATTCACATTTGCTACATGTCACCTTATTCATTTATTAAATTATATTTACCTTCCTAAAGTTTTAAACTCTGTAATATTTGGAACATTTATCAAAACTTGCTGTCACTTACCTTTCTTCCTGATAAAAAAATCACAGCAAGCATTAAGAATTTAGGAAGGTAAGGTTTAATAAATGAATAAGGTAATAAATCAATCATGAGTTTGATAAATTAACTAATTTTAAAAGCATATAAATTAATAAAATTTTAGAGCTGCTTCTGGCAAAGAAGTGTAATCAGGAACATTTTAAATTATCTCGTTATAAAATGCCATTTCCTTCCTATCATCCTTTGAAATGCTCCTTGTTGGAATTATTTTGGAAGAATCTTTTTCATTAAGAAGAGTTTAATAACATTTATTATATGGACTGAGCATTAAGCATTATTTAATTCGACCTCATAGATTTGTGTAATGCATGTTATTTCTAAAATCCTAGAAAAATTGAAACCTCTCTTCACTAGGCTACCCCCATCCCATTCCATCTCCACACACACTCTTTGCTCTTTGGGGATATGAACAAACAAAAATCCCCTGACACTCTTCTTTACTTCTGCAAAGGCTGCTGTCATTAGTGTTAAAAGAAAAATACTCGCCCGAAGAACAACAGCTCAGAGTCCGATCCCGCTGCACGGAGTTAGAATTCCAAGGGCCTTAGAAGGGGTCGAGGACCGCACTTCGTACTCACTGATCGCTTCCTGCCCATTCAATAGGCACTATTTTTCCGCCCACCCCTCAACGACTGACAAAGGAATAAAGTTTAGCTACACATACCTAAATACATACACATGTGTGTGCGTGTATATACATATATATTTTTAATTCTCCGAACAAAAGTCCCACTACCGAAAGCTCGAGAGCAGGGGAGGAGTAAAGATGACCCAAAAGGCGCAGGCCGGCCCCTCTCCGGGGGGGGGGAGGGCCACGCTTATCCCGTTTACCTTCATTTTGGGGGGCGATCTAAGGGGTTCCAGCTCAGAGAGAAGTCTTCGGCAGCGCTGGATGCGTGAGGGAGGAAGAGAGAAGTGCAGTTAACCAACAACAGTCCGAGAAGCGTCCGAGTAAACAAGCCCGGGCGGGGAGGGGCGCAGCCCTCGCTGTCCCAGGTCCGGGAGGAAAAGCAGAGGCCCAAGGAGGAGGGGGGGAGCGGGAGGAGCCCCCAAAGCAGCTTTCATGCCGCCCCTCGGCGGACTTCCCTGCCTCCGCCCCTCTATCCACTTCCACGGGGGAAAGTGAAGTCGGGGCTCCCTCCGAGTGCCGCCGGAGCCGGAGCAGGGCAGGCAGGGCAGCAGTTTCTGTTTCTCGGGATCCCCGGAGGGGCAGTCTCCGGGGCGGTCCGTGTCTCCCTCCGCTCGCCCTCTCCCGCCTCTGGCCCCCCCTCCGCCCGCTCCCCCCTCCCTCCCCTCCCGTCCCCTCCCCCCGGTGCCCGCGGTGGCGGCGGCAGCGGCGGCGGTGTGTCACGGCGCCATTGCTCTGCCTCCACCAGCTCTGCACCATGTCAGGCAGGAGAAGAGGCTCCGGGTCCCAGAGGGGCAACAGCCGCCCGCAGCCAGAGAAAAGGAGAAAGGGGGAGAGGAGGAGGAGGAGAGGGTGGGGGGAGTGAGGGGGTGGAGAAGAGGAAGGGAGGCAGCCGGGACAGGGTGTGGGAGGGGAGGAGAACCGCACAGTGGCAGCCACTGCCTCCTCCCTTCACCCGCCTCAACTTTTTTTGTGCCGCTCCGAGAGGCGCTGGTCGTCTGGGCCCCCGCCCCGATCCCTCTGGTCCAGCCCCCTAACCCATTAGAGGGAGAAGCGCCGCAGAGTTGGGACCCCTCTCCCGGGAGCAGCCCCGTTCCTCACTCCGCCGGAGCAAACTTAGCGGGGCGGCCACCCCCACAGCCATTTTACCCCGGGAACAGCAGAAGGGGTGGGAGGAGGGAGGAAAAAAAGAAAATCGGCAGCAGCGGTTCCCGCTGCTGAGGCTTCTCCTCCGCCGCCCCCACCCCCACCCCCACCTCCAAACCTCTAAGTGCACCGGGACTCCGGGCAGCAGCACCAGCTGCTACTGCCGCTTCATCCATTCAATAGCCCCCGCTCCTCCTCTCCCCACCTACCAACTGCGGCTCAAGTACGCGCTGTCAGCTCTCGATCCCCCCCAGCCACACTGACCCCAGCGGGCTCCCGTCCGGGCAGCACCACTCCTGGCCGCCGCGGCAGTTCCTGCGCCCAGTCCCCCGCTCGCCCCGATTTACTGCCACAATCCACCAAATAACAAGCTGTTGAGCAGACTCGCTCCTACACGAACTCCTATTGGACCCTCATGACGATGGAGCACCCCTCCGCGCTCCTCATTGGGGCTCGCTACCCGCCGTCCCGATTGGATGTAACGCCTTGAGTGCACCGATTGGTAAGAAAAGAAGCAGGTAGGAAATGTCCCACTTACGATTGGTTACGCGACGAGTCAAACATTATTGGAGGAGTTGGGAATTGAGTCAGTAGATCCTGAGAAATGATTGGTGACGATGACTCCGGATGTGCTTGAGTGAACACTGATTGGTGAACTCGGGGTCAGGAAGAGCGGCCCAGAGCGGGGATTGGCAGTGGGTGTCCCATGGAAACGGAACTCATAGCTGCGAAGAGGGGCTTGCACCGGGGGCGGGGCAGGGATTATACAAGGCGCCTGCGCCAGATCCTGTTCTCGGCGCCATTTTGTCTCGGCAGCAGTGGCGGTAGCTCTTTCCCATTTTAAGCTTCGCGAGGAGGGGAGCTGAGTCTTTACCCGGTTGATTCGTTCTCGTGGACCAGGCGTTCACCTTCCGTCCCCAGTGATAGCACAGTGAGTGACTGAACAAATTTGGGTTCCATCCACAAAGGTCAGCTGAAGGCTGCGGTTGCCTGACGGGGGGGGCGGTGTGAGAGGGGATGGCGCAGCTATAGCGGCACCCACACCGGAAGTGAGGGGGCCTCGCGGCGGCCTAGACCGAGTAAGTTCCTCACGGCGGGGGGGGGGAACGAAAGGGGGGGGTGGGGAGGACCTAGGCCTTCTCTCCCGCCGGAGAAGAGGGGGTGGAGTTTGCTACCTCTCCCGTAGCAGGGTCATCCCCTGTTTTTCTCCTATGTGGGTAAAGAAGGCGCTCCACACCCCCTCACCCATACCTTGTGTGCTTCGCTTGCGTCCCTGATTCTCGTGCAAAGAGGCCGGGGTTTGACTTCTTTAAACTTGAAAGAAGTTATTTTTGCCAGGGTCCCCCTGGCCAGGAAGAGGGCGTTTCCACCCGAGCGTCGAAACGGGAATCTGAAGAAGGCCCTGGGTCTCAAGATGCAGGGAATTCGCCTTCTCACTTTTCCCTGATGTTGCTAGCCCAAGGTCACATTGTGTAAAACCGTAATTCGCCTTTTAAATGGAGATTGTATTTGACAGGCATGTAGTATGTTCAGTAGTCCTCTGAAAACCATTTTCCAAGAGGTACGGTGACCATTGATTTAGCAGTTATGTAATGGCTCTCTTAAATGAAAACATTTTAAATCATTTTGGCTTAAATTTAATAGAACGTTAACTCGACAATTGTAGTTCTTTTTTAAAACCTTAAGTAATGACGAATCTGAGATTGGGTTGGAGATGAGCACTGCATTCCGATTTTAAATTAGGATTTTAAATTTTAATTAGAAAAAAACTTGTTCAAACCATTCATCTTCTAGATAAAGTGTATATTATTCTCTAATTGAGTAGCTTTTTAATGTAAAGAGACTATGGCATATGCTAAACTGCATTCGCTAAAATTTAAAAAGCTTGGGGTTCTAAGAAGTTCACATCACTGTTTGTTCTCACAATATCCCTAGTTGGCTTTAAACTATTTTAGGAGAGTCAACTTTAGTGAGATATAAGTGCTTTGATAGTTTATTTCTCTCAATTATTATTTTGCAGTTCTGCTGTAAGGATCTGTAGATTGGGTGAACTTCAGAAAGTCATTCCACGTTGTTGGAGAGGTGAGTCCTCATATAATCCTGAAAATGTTTAGAATGAGGGAAGGGGCTAGAGAAAAGACCTAGGAATGAATTTTCATGCCTAGTCAGAAATCTTTTGAAGTAGATTGTGATGTATTATTGAAAGAAGGGTGAGAATGGGTGTTGTGCTTTTGTTTAATAGGCAAAGATGAGGTTGCTTTGGAGTATAGAGAATTGGGTGCCAAAGATATAGCAAAAGTAAACATAAAATGAGTTTGGAGAGCTTCAAGTAGGCTGATCTGGCTAAGGCTTTATGGAGAGAAAGTAGTGGGAGGTAGAGCTGGAAAGGTAGGCTAGAAGTCAGATAACAGAACATTTCATTTGAGGTCAAAACTTTAAACAGAGGGTTAAAAGTGTTTTAAAGTACCATTCTCAAGATGGCGCTTTAGGAAGATTGATGTTGCCATCTAGAAAGGTGCTTAAAAGGTGTTGGAGTCTGGAAACTGGGTGACAAGTTAGGAAACTATTGCAGTAATCTAGACATAAGGCATGGATCAAGTAATGGAAGGGGGATCTAGGAGAGAGACATTTGAAGAAAGAACAGGCAGACTGCAACAAACAACAGACTTTGAGCCTTGGTGTTTTGGGAAAATGATGATTCTCTTTACTGTTTAGCTTCTGTTTGGGGCTTCACATGTGACCTTTCAGTATGAATGGAGTCCCTTTTGATATGATTGCTTTTCTAATAAAAGCAAAATTGTAATCACAGGAGCAGAAATATTTTATTTCTTTTCAACTTCGTAGCTTTGTTTTCTTTGCATGGCTTATTTGCATTGTGAATTATTAATGCAAATACTTAAAGTAATTTTCTCAACTACTGATATCCTTTCTTTTTGTCCTTCCTTCCCTCCATACCCTTTATGGCTCAGCCAGTGAATGTTGAGGATTAGCACATTATTACTATTAGTTTGAGGAAAATGTGATTAGGGGACTACAACTGCCATCTTCCATCCCAACTACCCCTCTTCATGTTCATTCATTCAACAGCTGTTAGCCGTGCTATCTATGCACAGTGTTCTGGGTACTAAGTTGATTATAAGATTTGATCACGTAAATGTCTCTTAACTTTTCTCATGAAGCAGGAGTTTATATTGTAATACATTGGAACTCCATTTTTGCCTCTGGTCCAAAAAATATATACTTAAAAAACATCCCTGTCAGTCACATTGCTTGTGTTATTGTACTACTCACCATCAAGAAACCCCTCTATGTCAGCTATACTTTTACCAGATTGTAGTCTTGCCCACCAAAATCAGTTGTGATGTCATAAGTGGTATTGAAATTTTTAGCATTAGAATTTAGCAAAAAGTCTTAACTGTGTTTTTTGTTGTTTTTTTTTAATAATGCTATAAAATATTGTTATTTCCATGGTGTAGTGGTCTTACAGGTGACTGAATTCTAGTGTTATCTTTGATACTTTCTAGCTGTGTGATCCTGCTCAAGCATTTATGTGCCTACCAAGTTGTCGAACAGTGCTGGAAGTTGAGAATATAAGTTATTTAATCTCTCTGAGGCTCTGCTTCTTGGTTAGTAAAATGGGGATAATACTTGTACTGTACCTCTTGATGTTTTTGTGAGGAAAGTGTTTTGTAGTTTTTAAAATGTTCTACATAGATAGTTAGATATAATAAATTAGATATGATTAGATAAGATCCCAGACTTCATCCTTTTGTGAATCTTTTTAGTAAAATGATAATTTTCTTCTCCCTTTATTAGGTTATCTATTGATGCTTGACATTCTTGTTTAATTGGGATTGGGATGCACTGGAGGTGCGTGGTTTCCTTTTTCATTCTGCAAATAGCCTCAACCACTTTTGTTATCTTTATCAACCTAAGACCAGAACATTTCTTCTCTCTTCAGAGTACACAGTGGAAAAAGTGGGCACTTGTGAAGTATCATTGTGAAATGACATTTTGAGAGCTATTTAGGAAAAACAAAAATAGCATGAATCAGTAAAGTTAAATTTTTTCCTTTTATTTGCATAAATAAAATTTAAAAGGCCTTTTTTGAGAAAATGTGAATACTCTATTAGGTTCTGCTTAATGTTGTACTTCAGCTTCACTTCTCTCATGTTTAGTCCTGAGGACTCACAAATGTGAAAGACCTTGAGAATTATTGTTTTTCATGTCCAAATATCAGATTTAGTTCTCAGTTGGATTCTGATTTCTAGTAGGACGTAGGGTTAGAAAATCTTTTGAAGAATATCACAATGATTTACTGATCTAAGTGCTGTGTTATCTTATAATAGTTTTTTAAGTTCCTGAAGTATCTTGATGAAGCAGATTTATAATTTGAATGAAAATACAAACATTGTGCTGAGGATATAGTATATGATGTTATTCATAGACTCATAGAGTTAGAACTGGACAGTATGTGAAAGGTCACCTAAACCAGCCCCCTCATTTTAAAGATGAAGACTTAGGAAGGTTGTGACTTGTTCAAGATCATGCAGATAGTGAGCATCAGAAGTAGATTTGTGCTGAAGTCTTCTGACTCCACAACCTCCACACAATATTAAGAGAGATAGACTGAGAGTTATGAATAAGCCGATTCTTATAGAATGATTTTTATGCTTCACTATGAGATAGACCAGACAGCATCATTATTTTTAATTCTTTGTCTTTCAGATTTATCCTGATTTTTGTGGGGAAAAGTCATCAAAGGCTTTTAACTGTTAGATCTGAATCTATTTTCTTACTGTTTCTTGGAATGTTTCTGGTAGGTGAGTTTTAGAATGGTAGAAAAAAGTTAAATTTTAGTTTCTAATATCGTGTGGCAATGCTACTACATATAACAAAGTTAGGTAAGAAATAATATTCTCTTAACTGTATAATATTTTCTGTAAGCATTTCAGATGATGTTGGGAAGTAGATTTGACAGCTCTCATGGATCCAAAAAATTTCCCAATTAATCATTTATCTCTAAAGAAAATAAAGTAACAAGTTAATTTCTAACCAGGTACAAGTTCCCTGTTGCTGAAATTTTCTCTTTTGAATTGCGTAATCACTTGTATTCATAAACCTCAGTTTTCCTTTGTGGTCAAGCGTAAGTAAAAGTATATTTCAGATTGTGGAGTGAGTAAATAATATTTCTAACAAATTGGTAATATTAGAGCATTTAAAATATCTTGATACTTTGATATGCAGAACTCTAGCCTGGGTATTCTGGAGCATATAAAGAAATAAAAGAGTTTCTGTCCTCAGAGAGCCTGTGATATAGCTGGGAAGATGGGATACAAATGTGCTTTTAAATTCCTGTTATTTAACAGGGAAAAAATGTTAATTATTTAAAATAATGGAAGCAGTATTGCAAGGTAGTTATTAATTGTCAAATTTTACAGTCACAAAGCATTAGAGGAGTCAGAAGGATTTGGCAGGAAAAGCTTTATAAAAAGCGTGGGATCAGAAGTTGATCTTGAAAGGAATGGGATTTGGCTGGGCAAGGAAGAAAGCATTCTAGTGGAATAAAAAGAGCAAAAACTTAAAAGAAAGATTGAGGTGTGTTGGGCAGAGAGTAAGTAAATCAGTTTGACTAGAATGGCAAGTTCGGGAAGCAAATAGACAGTGGGCCTTGAAATGTACTTTGGGGACAGATTGGCTTGTTCTTTAAGCAGTGGGAAGCCATTGGAAGGTAATGTTGTTGTTATTCTTTTGCATTGTATAGCAAGGGTGATAGGAATAAAATATGTTGTTGAAAGATTTGATGTGTATCCTGGATTGAAAGTCTAGGTAGAAGGGAGATTGAAGGCAAACTAGTCCATAAGCTGTTGTAATCTAAACATAAATTAGTAAGATTTTGACCTAGGCTGGTGACAGGGGAAAAGGAGAAGACAGAAACTAGAAAGGGAGTATCAGTAGGAGTGGGAGGATATCTTGCTCTTTAGGGATTATAGTAGAGAAGTAGGAGACTGCTCTTAAGTTTGGACCCTGGTACATTTGGAATGTGGGGTTAAGTTTGGTGATAAAGATGATTTCTCTTTTTGACACATTTAGCTTGAGGTGACAGTGAGCATCTTAGTTAAAATATTCGAGCGATTGAAAGTGTATAACCAGAGCTAAGGATAGAAGTCAGGGCTAAAAATTAAAGTGTGGGTTTCGTCTGTATAGTTGTGGTAGTTGTGAAAGTAGTTTTTATATAGGATCATAGAAGTGTGGTTTCAGACCTCAGAAGGACCGTATAGGTCTAATCTAACCTTGGATTCACCCCCTCCCCCAAATCCATGCATTTTACAAATGAAGATAAAAGGTCCAGGATTGAGAGACTTGTCCATAATGATATGACTTAACACTAGAAATGTAGTAGTCATGTCAATTGATACAAAAATGTTTTTAGACATTTAAAGCTCAAAAAGTTTTAGATATTTATACTTCATGCTTCATGACTTCTTCTGTATGTTTGTTTTTACTCAATAAACATTGTCTGCTATGTGCCAGACATTGTGCTGAGAGCTGAGGATACAAAGAAAAGTAAAAGAAGGCTCCTGCCCTTGAGAAGCTCACAATGTAATGGGGGAGCCATTAGGCAAATAACTGTGTACAAATAAGCTATATACAGAATGAACTGGAAATAATCAACAGAGGAAAGTCTCTAGAACTAAGAGAGATTAGACAAGGCTTCCTGTAAAAGGTGAGATTTTAGCTGGGATTTGAAGGAAGCCAGGATGTAGAGACAAAATTCCTTAGCAGCCTAAAGACTTTTCAGATAACCCAAGAAATTAAATATGTAGTTCTATAAGGACCAGATGTGTCAAATAATGTAAATATACTTGAACATTATACTTTTGTTAATTGGGTCATTTCTTTGTCCATAAAAATCTTTCCTTAAAGTATCAGTTGAATTTGTCAAGTCTTTATAAACCTTGTGAATAATATATTTACAGAGTAAAAATGTTTGCATGTAGTTTCCACTCTTAACGCCATTTTTTTAAAAAATTCTGGCTTCTCAGTTTTTCAGAATGTATAGTTTGGTGGTCATAATACTA